ATTAAAAATACTGAGTGGAGAATTTTCAAAGCATAGCACACAATTGAATTCTTTTGCTACTATTAAAATCAGCAGGCTATGTGTAGTTAAAACCTCAGGCAAATTTCCAAATATTTATGGCAGCCCATCAGAGAGGTTATGGAATACCATTCATGAACAGTGATGTTTGACTTTTCCAGCTGTGATTGGCAGGGCACACGGTGTTGTGGTTCTTATTATACAGCACTAATGTCTGAAATCAATGCCAGTTTGTCACTAACACAGACAGGCTTACAGCTGTGAGCAGTGATTGTAAAATGTAGTTTAGATTCTATCTTGGCGGCCACTCATGGGCAACTAAGCATATATTTACAGCAATGTGCCAAATTGAATTCCAAATTGAAGTTATTATAGAAAATTTTAAAAATACAATAAATTATTTTCTTTACTGCACAGGGTCAGTGCACAGTGGAAATATGAAGAAATTTTAATTAAAAACTTAAGCGATTTACTATTAAACTAGTAAATTTATTTAATTAAATTTACTTGATTGGATGGTGAAATAAGAATTGTATCATTTTCTATATAAGAGCTAAAGTGTATTAATTCTACCCTTGCTCAGGAGATTTGGTTGTTTTTTTAAGATTCCCAAATATCAGATAGGTAAGGCAATGAGATTGATTTGTTTTTCTAGTGCAAAAATGTCTGCATCAAAATGAGTAATGACCTTCAAAATGGTCATTTCTACATGATAAGCTATACTCTGTGACTGACTTGTCAGTTACACAAGAAATTAAGTCACATTATTTACTTAACTTCTTATTTTTAAACAACAAAAAATAAGATGACCCAGTGCAGTCTTCCATGTTATTCAGACTTGGAAGTAATTGAGTTTTGGCTGTTTTCAAAAACCATAGCCATCTGCAAAGAATCAAGATTTCCTTCTTGGAAGATATTAAAAGAGAGTCACCCCCACAGGTCCACAAAGCAGAGCTTCCTGAGTTTGCATGTAGTCACAGAAGACCACTCTTAAGGGACAGTGTTCCTTTGGAAGCAATGGTTATATATTTGCTAATGTAATTAGCTTTGTCAGCTCATAGGCACACTGTATCTACTATACTTTATTAAAGGGCTTCTCTCTCTCCTACCTGGGCTAATTCACGTATCTTTAAATGAATGTGGTGTGTCAACCATATTTTCCACTACTAACACCAGTTGGAAGTGGTAGGTGCAGAAGAGAAAGTGAAAGAAAGTGAAAGCAGCTAAATGAGAGTAAGAAACTGTCCTAACCCACCTATCACTAGTCCTGAAGGGGGTGTAGAGAAATATCACGACTGACAGATAGATGATGGTTGAATGATAGTCTGCCAAGAAACATGGTACCTGTTAGAAGAAATGCTAACCAAGAGACAGGAGCAGGGCTGGGACTGAGTGAGGCAAGTGAGGCCCTTAGGATTCAAAATATATTAGGAAGCACCTACCGTTGGTGGCCTGTCCTGTACTTACATGAGCCTTAGAGGGCGGGCCTTCCTAAAATTTCTGCTCTGGGTGCCTTACATGCCTCACCCTACTGTAGGCACTGGTTAGGAGGCTGATACCTAATTCATCTTTTGCCACAGACTTTCTAAGCAATTCTGGACAAATTAGTGGTTAATCTCATGCAACTTCAAATTCCCTACATGTAAAAGGGGAATGGTCATACTCTACCCGTACTGTAAGTTGCTATGAGAATCCATGGGATGTGACCATGTTTTGTAAGCCATATACATTTATATTATTATTTTTCTTCTTCCTACCATATCAAATTAAAAAAAATTAAGGGTCTTCTTCTGCAGTAGTTCTCATTATTAGAGTAGCTGGGCAGAGCTAGACTGCTGGGGATCTTTTTAAAAAGGACAGATGCCTGGGCCTTGCTTCAGACTAACTACATCAGTATCTCTTAATCCGTTCTCAGGAATCAGTATATTTTGTACTGTTTAATTATTAGTTGTGCCTCTTTATTTAACTTGAATTTTCAGTGGTTGCCCTACAATTCATAAGGTACATCTTTAACTTACCACATGTAACTTCATAATTTTATAGCACTTTATGGATAGTATTAAGAACCTTACAGCAGTATACTTTCAGTTCTTCCCTCCCTTTTTTCCTTGTGCTTTTATTGTCACAGACTTTTCCTTTGCAGATGTTATAAACCCCACAATACTGTGTCTCTTTTGTTTACTCTAGATTGTCAATTACCTTTCCAATCAATTAAAAGTAGGAAAATAAAATCTTTGTATATTTACTTTGATTTTCATAATTTCTGGTATTCATTTATTTTTATACCTAATTAGTGTTAAAATCCTTATGCTATCTATCAGTGAATTTGCTCAACTTTTGTTGGTCTGAGAAAAAATAGAACTTTATTTCACCTTCACTCTTGTAAGGTGTTTTCACTGGGGGGTAGAATTGTGAGTTGGTAGGTTTCTTTTTATGTTTTATTTTTCAATACTTTAAAGATACCACTTGATTGTATTCTAGCTTGCATAGGTTCTGAAGATTGGTTTTCTGTAATGCTGACCTTTGTGCTCCATGTTTTCCTTTTTTTTTTTTTTTTACTTTCAGCAGTTTGACTATCATGTATCTGGATGTGTATTGTTTGGTATTTATACTTAGGGTTCTGTGAATGTCTTGAATTTGTACTTTGATGTCATCATTATTATAAAAAATTCTCAGCCATTATCTCTTCAAATATTGACTCTACCTTTCATCTATTTTTGAGACCCCAATTACATACACCATGGTAGACCATTTGATATTGTATTACTTAATTCTTATTTTTTTTCAACTTTTTTTTCTCTTTGGATTTTAATGGGAATAATTTCCCTTGATCTACTTCAAATGCACTGTTTCTTTCCTCAGCTGTTTTAAGGCTAGTGATTGGCCCATCAAAGAAATTTTTTCTCTCAGATATCATATATTTTTTTTATTTCTAGAATTTTCATTTGACTGTTAAAGTTTCCATATCTCTGCTGAAATTCCCCATCTGTTTATGTATGTTGTCTACCTTTTCCAACTGAACAATATATTAGTCAGAGTTATTAAAATATTCTTGCTCATTACTTCCAACATCTGGGTCATGTCTGCTTCTGGTTCTCTTGATTTCTTTATCTTCTCTCATGAGTCATTATTAATTTCTCATGGTTCATATTTAATAACTTTTTATTGAAAACTTCACATCATGTATAGAAATTGAAGACTGAAGTAATATTTATGCCTATGAATGGGCATGCCTTTTTGTCAGACCATTGGAATGGGAGTTTAAATCAATGTAATCGCAACTTGAGCTGGATTTGTGTTTTGCTGTCTCTATTACTTTCAGTGCACTATGGCTTTGAAAATCCTTCAGAACTGGGCTGCTAATGCCTTGTACTTATATATCATCTATAATGTTTTCAGACTCTTAGCTTGAAGTCTGTTTTTTGCTTCTTTGACCCACATAGGATGGGCCTTTGGATGCCAGAGTGTTTTTCTCAGTGTTCCTGTTCCTCGTCACATATCACTTGTCCTTGTAGGCCTGTATTGTAGAGGAGGTTCTGTCTCTCAGAACTTGTTCATCCTCCAGTGGTAGGCTTGTTATTCAGCACTAGACTTGCAGTGGGTGCGGGGCTGTTTTCTGTTATATTTTCCTGGTTTTGTGTTAGACAAAGTTTACTTCATATCTGGGGTTGGTCTTGAACAGTTTTCTGCCCTTGCCCTAGTGGGATCATATCTTGGACACAAGAAGGTGTTATGTCACTCCCCAGTAGTAGCAATCTGCCCTTCTATGTAGCAATGATCTCTGCATATATCCTAGGGGTTCCTGACCCTCCCCCAGAGCTAGGTTGGTTTTGCTTCTTCTCCTCCAGAAGCAGTGGATCTTTTCCTGGCCTCTGTGTGTGGGAGGATTTGGTGCTCTCTCCTCAAGCAGCTTAAAGCTTTTGCTTTGTAAGAGGAAAAGGTCCATGGAATTGGGCAGGGGTTTGTGCCCACTCCCTAGCAGTCACAGTTCACCTCATTCTCATCGGCACTACAAGGGGGAGTGTCTCGTCCTCAGACTTTCTGATAGCATCCAATGGAGGTCCAAGGAGTTTGCCCATAAATGCAATTTCCCCTTGTGTCCTGGACACCCAGCTATTCCAAACTACATGCTGCCCACACTAGGCCTCTGGCAGTTTGTTAAAGTTTTAGCTGATCTCTTCTTACCCACTTGTATGCAGTCCACAACTTTTACCCGTACCCTGCCAAAGGTAAATGGTTTGCATGTCTTGTCTCTGGTTGGAGCCACTTGTCCCTCTTTAGAATTCAGATTACTTTATTGCTTTGTGACTTCAGATCTCTGATACATCAAGAAGAATTTTGTTTTTTATATTTATCCACTTTTTTTTTGTTAGTGTGGGAATGAAATTCTTTGCAGCTCTCTATATCCTAAGTGAAAATGGAATTCTGTATAAATCAATATATTTTTAAGCTCCTCGGATGGTTCGAATGAAACAAAAGGATTGAGGAACATTTCTAGGAAAACTGATTTTTATTCTTAAGAATCTACTTTATAGACCTGCTTTATAAATATAGAACTGTTTTATAAATCTGCTTTATAGAACTGCTGTTATTGTGTTATTAGAATAAAGCCAATCCTAATATAGTCTTCCACTATCTTGAAAATAGAACATTTAAACTTTTAGAATAAATGCCAATGGAGGGTATAGGTTTACCTGCTTCCCTCAACCCGTTCTGGAATTTTTCTCACCTCTGACTACAAATCATGCTTTCAAATCCTTATGACTTGGTCTAATTATTATCAGAAGGGCAGCTGTTTACCTAACGGTTTTCACACAAAGAATTGGAGATTGTAGTCTGATTTCCAGGGATCATTTATCTACTGAAGTTCCCCTTGATCTGCAGTCAAGGTCCTCAGGTACTCTGGACAAGAACAGCATTTTAGCATTCAGAACACTCTATGGCCGTGACTCTTTCTTAATGCGCGTGTTTTCCATGGGCAGAACCGCATTGCGAAGCGCAGCAGGAAGCTGGTTGACTACGACAGTGCCCGCCACCACCTGGAGGCCTTACAGAGCTCCAAGAGGAAGGATGAGAGTCGGATCTCTAAGGTGGGGATTGATGTCACCACTCCAGATTCTGTGACCTAGCACCTTTGCTTTTAAAATGAAATGTTTACTTTGTAAAGGAGATTGGAATCAGGACAGAATTTGAACTGAAACCTGGTGCTTGTGGGCCGCTTTCCATAATTTTTCATTAAAAATAAGGTTTTTCATACTGTAGAATTCACATGGGTGACACCGACTCATACATTTTGATCAGAATAAACTTTGACTCTCAACAATACTGTAGACTCAAAGAAAGTAATGAGTGTTCCTGTATTTCTCTCTGTGGGTGTGGCCCATACTTGATGCTAAAATGCAGATTAAGATAGGGAACCAAGTTTGAAATCTCAGGCACAACGTGATTGTTTGAGAGTATGGACATGTGCTAGATTTGCATAACATTCATTTTCTTTTAGAAAGCCACTTCAGTAGCTTTTACCATGTCAGTCCATTTACAGATGCCGACTAATCAATGACACCTGCTAACTACTCCCTTTGCTTGCAGTCTTGCTTCCTCCTATCTGCTTACATGCATCTGCCCGAATGCTCTTTCTGTAACATAGATCTAGATATGTTTCTCCACTGCTAAGCCTTTTAATGGCTCCCACTGCCTGTAGAAAAATTCTAAATTCCTTAGCACAGCGTATGCGACCTTTTGACTCACCTATTTGTCCTTATCAACATTCGGTCTTCTTTCTGCTCCTCTCTTTCTTCCATACACACATCCTAAGCTCAAGCCTCCATGACCTACACATCAGTTCCTGAGCAGCCACAATAACAGCTGCTCTTCAGGATGTGAGGCATCATAGATGCCAGACACCATGCTCAACACTTCACCCACATCACCCTTCCTTAATACTCACAGCACCTGTCAGGTGGACATTACTGTCTCATGTTATGGATGAGGTATCAGAAGGAAAAAACAATCTGACAAGTTCACAAGGTTAGTAAATTAAAAGTGTAACCCAGGGAACTCCACCTTAATGTATGCAGTGCCTTACCCACACACTTCTTCAGCAAACATTTGCCAATTCTTCAAGATTCAGTTAAAATATCATCTTCTCTATGGAACCTTTCTGTTCTCTTCACCTTTCCCAATACACGCTCCATAGTAGATTATAGGTCCTATCTTGCAATGTCATTATTTAGACTTCGTACTAAACTGGGAAATTCTTGGGGAAGCATCTGTATTCAGTATCCAGAGCACAGCAAGCAGTGTGTGACAGGCAGTTAACATGTTTTTGTAGAATGAATGAATCTGCCAGAGACTGTAAGAGCAACTATTGTAATCAATTCAGTTTTCTTGTTTCAATAAGACTTAATATTTCACTTGTATTGAAAAAAAATCATGTAGATATTGAGCAAATTAATTTTTCTTCTTCCCCAAATGTTTCTAGAATGCTGTAAAGCTATTCCTGTTTTATATTAAATGATTTTTGTTGTGTATAGAAATGGCTTGTGTTTATGTGATATTTTTTAGTGTAAACACATTATATGTCATTTCTAGGCAGAAGAGGAGTTTCAGAAAGCACAGAAAGTATTTGAAGAGTTTAACGTTGACTTACAAGAAGAGTTACCATCGTTATGGTCAAGGTAAAGATGTTTTTGTACAGGTTATACGTGTTCCTTTTAGAAGTTCAAGAACAGTGAATATCCCTTATCTTGTCTTTGTTGCCTGTGATGGTTCAGCACTGTTCAGTGGAAGTGTTCTATTATAATATAATCTGTGCTTCCCAATATGGTAGCTACTTGCCACATGTGGCTGGCTTTTGAGCACTTGGAATATAGCTGAATTATAAATTTAATTTGTTTTGTTTTAATACATTTCAATTTAAATAACCTTATGTAGCTAACAGTTACCATATTGGATGGCACAGTTGTAGACCTTGATATAGTTATCAAGTGTAGACCCAAATCTCAATTAGAGGTACAAGGAGAATGACCCTTAACCTTGACATTTACAAGGAGACCCTTTTGGTTCTTGGCAGAACTTCCGTTATTTCAAGAGCTTATCTTGGCTTCTGGCTTTGATGCCAAGCTACTACTTTTAGCCCTGACCTATTAACCTGAACTTCAGTCCTATTGTAGACACTAAATATTCTTATTTACAGGTACTCTGCATTTCTCAAGGTATTAATGTGCATTTTCCCTTTCTCATGGCATTAAGTGCTTCTTATTTATAGGCATTCTGCATTTCTCATGGTATTAAGTGCAGTTTTCCTACTCAATGGTAGAACCAAGAAGCTGTTGAGTGAAGTAGGGCGTTATGTCTCTCTCAAGTTCCATCAACACCCCCATGCTACCACCCTAAATAAACAGAATTGTGCTTGCCGTGCAACATTGCTTTAACTCAAATCCTCTGACCCAATTTCCAACCAGATTGTTGCCCCAAAGCCTTCCCATATTGAAATTCTAGAGCTTCTACTTACCCTCCAAAATTCCAAACATTTTGAGGATCTAGACTAGAGTTTGTCCATTCCTGTGTTTATTCCTAATGCTGTTGATTTTTTTGTCAACAGTAGGCACTCAGTTTTTTTTTTTTAACTACTGAAATACTAGAGGAAATCTTGGCTAGTTCATTATAAAACTAGCCTCTAGGACATGCCAAATTCAATGTCTAGCCATACCCAAAATTCAACGTGTGTGAAATTAACTCAGTGCTTATATGAATTTACTCATTTTTTCAACATCTGCATTTCTCTTTTTGGATATTGTCATTCCTGGACTCCCAGCCTCAAAACTTTGGAGTCATTAACTATGGGAAACCAAAGAAAACAATCCATCATTTTCCTGTGTGGTTTTCTGGATTTATTGCCCCCTCTCTATTCTCACTGCCGCCACCCTAACCCTCCTCATTGTTTTTGTGGATAATGATGGTAGGCTCACCCTCACATTTCTGTCTTTGAACTCTTCCCTCTCACCTCTTCATTCACAAGCTGTACTGTGGCATCTTTCTGACCTGCTTAGGAACTTTCTGTACTTGCCCAAGAAGGACCTTGATTCTCACCAAATGAGGTTTTGAAAAGCTTGAATATTTAAGCTTATAGGGATATATTGGCTTGTCAGAAAAGTCATGACATATTTTTTCTGTTATTCTTTGCAAAAAATGTGTCATGACTTTTCTGACACCCCAATAGATGAGACAAGCATCTATTTATAATTTTAATTTAGACATTTATGCCTAATTAAAATAAAAAATATATGAAATTGTGTTTTTAAATAAATATAATTTTTTTGCATGCTTGTATTTTCAGAAATACTTGTATTCAAAATCTTTTTTTTTTTTTTTTAAAGATTTTTATTGGAGAATTGAGGGATGGGAACAGTGTTGGGGAATTGGGGGAAGGGGAACAGACAAGTTGCTGTCCTTTTGTTCTTCACTCTAGTTGTGGAGGATGTTGCTTCACTGGCCCAAGTTGGTATTATCATTATGCTCTTCCCTGGGTGAGACAGATCGGTCACCAGCCACAGGACAGCTGCTCACTGCGGCTCTTGGCAGCTGGCACCATCTGCTGACCACTCACGCTGTCTGCCAGCCACTCACGGTAGCTCACAGCAGCTCACTGCAGCTCCACTGCAGCCTACGCTTCGCTGGCGACTCACTGCAGCCTAGCTCCAAGTTGAGCTGTTGTTCACCATCTTAGCTGTAGAGGGCGCTCATGTGGGATCCGAACCGGGGCCCTGCTGCTCAGAGCTGGCATCCCAAGCCAACTCTTAACCAACTCGCCACTCAGCCGGCCCCTCCATTGCTTTTTAAACTGGTCTTTTGAAAGGCTTGGGTACCACAATGTTCAGTATTTCCAATTATGAGACAATACTCCTGGGAAAATTGCCAAAAGGAAAATACATATTGTTTGCTTTATATGCATTGGCTATGTAACAGTTTCTTTGTTTTTTTAGTTCTATCTCTAAGTATCTAAAACTAGCATTGACTGGTGTACTTTCTGCCTATGTTCCCTCCCCAAGTAGTATTTGTTTATTGAAAATAAAATAATTGTCAAAGTATCCTGAATTTGAAAGACTGTAGGGACTTAAGTACAATGGGAAAATTTAAGGGACAAATTTAGGAGAGAAACCTTTCCCCTTATCTGATCAAATACAGAATAAATGCTTCAATGCTTTTTAATTCAGTCTAATTTCTCATTATGGCGCTTAAGGTTCTTTTTATGTTCATCAAATCCTGCCCTTTGATCAAAATCAAGCTTAGGCCTTTCTTTATGTATAGTGTGTTCCTTGACTAAACCCAGATTACTCACCCACAATAATGGTGTGAATTGTGTGCGTATGTCTATTTTATTTAAAAAATAAAGAGAAATCATTTATTGAATATTTGCCAGGTATCATTTTGTATACTTTGCACACATAATCTCTAATCTTCACACAGATATTTTCATTTTACAGACAAGGAAGCTAAGGATCATGTCACTTAGACACCCTGCCTAAGATTGTAAAGTTTGTAAATCCTAAAGCTGGCCTAAGGCCTGAAGTTTGTAAATCCTGACTTACAAACTGACTTAAAAGCACTTCTGTGGTTTTTCCTATAAATTTTGCTGTCTGAATTTAGGGCCTCCCTTTATCTAAAATGAGATTGCATTCAGTCTTTCATAAATAAGATTTATTTCATAGAGTTATTTCATAAATACATATGTTTTCCTCCCAGCCATATTGCTCCACCTTGCAATTAAAGTTAGTACTTTGTATCTTCAGTGACGCCTGTGGTGAAATTTATAATATTGTACATGTATTTATGAGTATTTATTAATGGGTTTATGCATGAAATCCTGCATCAAACTATTCATATCCATTCATAATGTTGGGTGAAGTGTTCTTTATATGTCATATCCATTGGGTCTACAGTGATCGCCAAGTGTTTCCTTATTGACTTTCTGCCTAGTTGTTCTATTCATTATTGAAAGTGAGATACTGAAGTCATCAGCTTTTATTGGTGAATTGTCTATATTTCTTCAATTCTGTCAGCTTTTGCTTCATGTATTTTGGGACTCTATTGTTATGTGTTTATGTTTATAATTGATGTATCTCCTTGATGGAGTCACCATTTTATCTTTATAAAATGTCCTTCTTTGTCCCTAGTAACAAATTTTGTTTATTTTGTCTGGTATTACTATAGCCACTCCAGTTCTCTTTTGGTTACTCCTTGCATGAATGAATCTCTTTTACTTTCAATTTGTTTGAGTGTTTGAATCTAAAATGTGACTCTTATAGACCGCATATAGCTGGATTGTGGGTATGTGTGTGTTTTGTCTATTCTGCCAACCTCTGTCTTTTGATTTGCGTGCTTAGTTCATTAGTTTAATTACTGATAAAGTAGGGTGTATGTCTATCATTTTGCTAATTTTTTTCGGCATGTCTTATGTTCTTTTGTTCCTGTAGTCTTCCATTATTGTCATGTGTAGAAAATTGTTTCAAAATTTTGGATGCATAAAGGAGAAGAGAAATGATGTGCTATCTAAAGGAGGATGTAAGTTCAAATGAGGAAATACAAGGGTATGTTTGTTCTAAAGGAGCTTCTAATTCATAAGGGATGATAGAGAAATATCACAAGGAAGGAAGGGTTCCAAAGAGAATGTTTGAGCTAAATCTTTTAAAATGATTGTTGTCACAATTTAGTGAAAAGAATTTTATAAGCTGAGGTAAAGCATGAATAAAGGCATGGAGATTGAAGTAGATATGTAGGTTCATAGAACTTTATTTAGTTTATTGTAGCTGGAAGTCAGAGTGAAAGTGTCCAAAAGGAGAGTTGTGATGATAAAACAGGAGATAGGTAGTGGTCAGATTCATTTATAATTCATTCAGGAAATATCAATTGACCACCCACTATGTACCGAGTACTCTTTTTAAGTACTGAAGATTTTGATTTCTTGGATCTTACATTGAAGTGTAGGGAATGACAATTATCAAGAAAAGAAATGAGAAATAAAGTCTTAAACCAAAAGTTCAGTGCAGAAAACAAAAACAAGATAATTTAATGAAGAGTGACATGGGATGGGATAGCTATTATAGACTGGCCAGTGAGGGAAGGGTTCTCTCAGGGCGATAGACAATATATGAGGAAAAGAAAGTTTGGGGAAAATACTGAGCTCCATTTTGTATATGTTGAGTTTGCAGAATCATTGGAAATCCAAAAGGATATGTCTATTGGGCTAACCAGGTCTGGAGCTCAGAAAGAGGTTTGGGAGTCATTATTATATGGGTGGTGGTTGAGAGTTGATGAGGTGTAGGTAATGAGAGATCAGATGGCCAGAGGAGGACCAAAGACAAAACGTTCATGAGAACCAATATTTAAGGACTAATGCAAAGAAGAGGAGCCTGTGGAAATGCCTGAGAAGAAATAATCAGAGATGTAGAAGGAGACGTGGAAGGGACCTGTAAGAGCTGTATCTCAAAAAGCCAAGAATGGAGAGAAATTTAAAAGTGAAATAGTGCCAGGAGTATTATTTACAATAGAGAAATCAAGTAGACAAGGGCTAAAGATGCATTGCCTTTGGTGAACTTCCAGAGGAGTTCAGTTGATAGGGGGGTTAGTGGGGTCAGAGCCTGATTACTGACATTGGAGACTCAGTGGAAGGTGAGGA